TAGATCATGTTCTGTGGAAAAGTTACAGGGTAAATTTCAACATCAATTACCATATGGCCTCCGTTGAGGGCAAGAGAACCCTTTCCACATCTCACACCTTTTGGAGTAAGTATTCTTAGTAGTTTACACCATAGTGATTGAGATATGGCCAAATTTGCCTCGAGAATGCAGGCCACACTTCATTTGCTCTTCTACTGGAAATATTCAATTCCTGTCCACCCAGAAACACCAAAAATTTTAAAAAAAAAATGAAAGAAAGATTCACACTTGCATCTGGTAGATGGTTGGGTCTTCGTCCGTCCCACAAAAGACGGACGGGGTCCGAGGAAAGGTAAGTGCGGCGCTTGCCCGTTCCCCAGCCTCCCTCAGCCCGGGAGACCATCAGACACAGCGGGGAGCCAAATCCAGCAGGTTGAAAACTCGTTTATTAACTGAGAGCAGCCCCTTTTAAAGACAAAAAGGGTGGGTGGCATGGTAAAGGAGGAAGAGGAACCAATCACTGTCAAGGTCACACCCTATCATGCACCTGAGCCTTCACGGGCTGGTTAGGCACTGATCGGCAGGTCAATTGGGCTCTGCCCACTCTACTCTCTCCCAGCGCCATCTTTGCTGCCCATGTGCTCCACAGTAGATGCTGCCTGTAATTCTACTAGTCAAAGGCTAAGATCAGAGGATGGCAGTTAGAAGCTAGTCTAGCAGGAAAATCGGAGACTCTTTCTTTTAGATTATTAAATTATTTTCTTAAGTTGAGGTACAGGACTACAGTTTCATGATTCAAGTAATGACTACGTTTCTTCTTGTACAGTGTCACCCCATCCTGCATTCCTTTCCAAATGACATCCCACTAAAGCCAAGAGAATTCTTTCTCTTTCTCCAATATTTGGGGATGAGAATTTTCGGTACTTAAAGCTGTGCTGGTTGAGATTTGATCCCATGTGTCTGAAGCATGCAGATCACAGTTCCTTCGCACTTCTACATGAAGAATTCACTTTGTGCTCACCTAGACACATGTCTCTTGCTTTTATTTATTTATTTATTTTCAGGTAAGGGGTAGGTTTATTCAGTAGACCTGCTGGGACCAGGCAAGGTTGGCACTCCACGTGGCTGAGAAAGGCCTGGGAATGAGAGAGAGCTGGGAAAGAGAGGAAAGAGCTAGAAAAGAGCAGAGAGAGGGGTAAGAACAGTAGCACTCACGTGGTATTCAGGTAAGGGGTAGGTTTATTCAGTAGACCTGCTGGGACCAGGCAAGGTTGGCACTCCACGTGGCTGGGAAAGAGAGAGAGGAAAGAGCTAGAGCAGAGAGAGAGCAGAGAGAGCTAGAAAAGAAGAGCAAGAGCAAGAGCTAGAAACGAACAGAGAGAGAAAAAGAGAGAGTCTGGGCCTGGGCTAGGCCTTATCTTGGGTATGGGCGGGGAAAGGTGTGGCCACATCAAATTCAGATGTGACCTCAGCGGATGCAGATGTGACCTCTTCCAGGTGTCTCAGTTGCCTAGGTAACGCAGGTACTGGGTGGAGACTTTGCTGCGAGGAGGGTGGAGTCTGCTTGCCATCCAGGGGCGGACCTTACATTCCAGCCTTTTAATAATCATGAAATAGGGCAAGGATTCTCTCTGGCTACTTCCTGCTGAAAAGGGGCGTCGACAATAGGGGTAAAAGGCTGGAATTTGGTCTCCTCCCAGAGAAGACAGTGAGCAGCAGCTGTCCCTTGGTGGCGTGAGTCCTTAGATGAAATCTGGAGAAGTCTCATGAGCATTGAGGGGCTGGAAAAAAAAATACTAGACAGCAAATAAATGGCAAGAGGAAGGACTTGGGGCTGAAAATGTTGGTAGAAATGTCCCTCGCTACTTCTGACATCGGGCGACTAGGTGGAGAAGTCAGGTGACAAAGGCAAGAATATAAATTCCTGTCCAGTTAATAGGTAGACTGGTATGGACACTAGATGGGCAGGCTTCTTACTTCTACTGGCCTCCCAGCTCAGGTTAATTTTGAAAGGGCAGACACAAAGTAGCTGATGTGACATCTCCTCTTACTCCTCTCCATGTTCCCTTGTTCCCCAGACTGGCTGAGTCTAGGTGCTCGTTGCAGGGATGGCTTGTCCCAGTTGGTATTCAAGATTTGAACTCAAGGCCTGGGCACTGTCCCTGAGCACTTCTGCTCAAGGCTAGCACTGAACCACTTTGAGTTATAGTACCACTTGCAAAGTTTAGCTGGGAGATGGAGTCTTAGGGATTTTTCAGCCCGGGCGGGCTTTGAACTGCAATCTTTGCCACAAAAGCCCTTTATTATTTCCAATTAAAGCAACAAGGAGATCAAGTAGAATAAGTAGAGCTTACCCGCTCCTATCAAGAACTGACCAACAAATATTCTGCAATGACAAAACTCATTAGATGTGATGAGAATTTTAGCATAGGTATGCCCAGTATTTTAGTACCATGTAGTCAGTAGTAGAATACACAACACAGAACAAAAAAGGCAAAACTCAAAACCTAAAATTTTGACATTTAGACATCTTTGCTAACAAAGCACATTAGATGGTTGGGCCTCAGTTACCAGGGCCTGTGAAAAGAGCAACTTGTTAGCAAGGCACCTTAGAATAGATGAAGAAGTAAACTTAGTGGAAGGTTAAGGGTCAGATGGGGCCAAACCCTTAATCCACCACGTGGCCAAGATGGAGAATTTCTGAAAGAATGCAAAGAAAGCCTGAAAAAATAGACCAAGCCTACATTGGCTAGCCTTTGAGAGGGAACCTAGAGGGGGGTCCCTGGGACCCAGCCTGCGTCGCACTCTTCAAGGCACAAGCCAAAAAGTTGTAGAAAAAAGGGTAGAAAGTTGGACATGAATGGCAGAAAGAGAGCAAAGAGAGCCTGAAATTAAACAAACTTCTGACCATTTACCATTGCAGTAGCAAAAACTGTGTACTTCTGAGAACGGCATAAAATTAGGCTCTCTGGCTTTCCAGGGAGCGCAGGAGGCATTTCAAAGGGGTTTCACGGCTCAGGTGTGATTCGTAGCACCCCATTAAATGAGTAATGGGGTCAGTCTGGTGAGTGAAGGAGAGCTAACCAGGCAGAAGCGGCATCCCAACTTCTCCCAGAGCCCTCTAGAGAGAAATGGCCAAGCCCCCAAACCAAGTGTCCTCGGCTTCAGAGGTGACCGGCCTTTCAGCTAAAGGCCGTAGGAGCTCTCTGGCGTGGCGCCACATCTGAACAGAGACTGAGCAACGGAGAGCCTTAGAGAGTACTTTCACTCACCAGAGTAGAGAAGTGGTGTGGACGTGGATGTGAAGGCAGCAATGGTATGGATGCGCTGATTCCGCCACAGACAGACTGGTTCGCAAAAGGCCGTCAGAACTGTGGGTATTCCTCAGAGCAAAAAGGGAAGAACAAAAAAAGAAAAAAGAGGAAAAAAAACAGAGAAATCCCAGCTATCCTGACTTTAAGCCCTTTATCCGAGTCACGGCACCATTTATGTTAGGTTTTTAAAAAGAGGTAGCCGAGTAAGAACAGCTCCAGCACGCACGTGGTATTCAGGTAAGGGGTAGGTTTATTCAGTAGACCTGCTGGGACCAGGCAAGGTTGGCACTCCACGTGGCTGAGAAAGACCTGGGAATGAGAGAGAGCTGGGAAAGAGAGGAAAGAGCTAGAAAAGAGCAGAGAGAGGGGTAAGAACAGTAGCACTCACGTGGTATTCAGGTAAGGGGTAGGTTTATTCAGTAGACCTGCTGGGACCAGGCAAGGTTGGCACTCCACGTGGCTGAGAAAGAGAGAGAGGAAAGAGCTAGAGCAGAGAGAGAGCAGAGAGAGCTAGAAAAGAAGAGCAAGAGCAAGAGCAAGAAACGAACAGAGAGAGAAAAAGAGCTGTCTCTTGCTTTTAATTTGATTCCAGAGACTGAGATCTGAGGATGTCAGTTAGAAACCAGCCAGGCAAGAATGCATGTGAGAATATTATCACCAAGAAACTTCTCACAAAAATTCTAGGATTCCTAGAATCCTACTACTCAAGAAGTCTGAGATCTGAGGGTCACAGTTCACACACACACTAGGCCAATAACAGGTGAGACATTTTTGGTTGTTTTTTGGGGGAGGGGATCCGGTTGTGGGGCCTGAACTCTGGGCCTGGGCGTTGTCCCTAAGCTCTTCAGCTCAAGGCTAGCCCTCTACCACTTGAGCCACAGCGCCACTTCCGGCTTTTTTTCTTTTTGCTTATATGGTGCTGAGGAATCGAACCCAGGGCCTCATGCACACAAGGCAAATGCTCTACCACTAAGCCACCTTCCCAGCCCAGTGAGACATTTTTGGATTCAGGATTTCTGTTGTGGCTCAAGTGGTAGAACACTGTCCTTGACTTAAAGTAACACATAAGCAGCCCGTAGGCCCTGGGTTTAAGTCCCAGTCCAGCACAAGATTTAAAAAAAGGAAAAGGCAGCCAGGAAAGAAAGAAGGGATGGAGGGAGAAAGGAAGGAAGGAAAGTAGAAAAGAAGGAAGGGAGGGAGGGAGGAAGGGAAGAAGGAAGGAAAGGAAAAGAAAATTTCTTAGAGATATGTTGGTGGATGCTATAACGTTGGGCTGGTTAATATTATTGGAATCATTACAGGCTCAGGATAGTGAAATATCTGTGAATGTTTCTCAACGGATTAACATGTAAGTGTGGGAAATGCTTGTTTGACTGTGTTATAAATTTTAAATGGAAGCCTCACCAACCCGGTCACACCTATAATCCTATCAGTCTGGGTAGAACCATTGCTTCAATTAATCCAGCAGACCAGGTGTGATGGGCGTGTCTCAGAAATCCCATCAGAGGTTGCTCTCTGATTGGTAGATATGTAAGGGCGAGTGTGGGTTTTAGTTATAAAGATGCCCAGAGACCAGAGGAGAGCAACAGAATCCTGGGGCCTGCAATCAGTGTCCAGCAGAGAGCCTGCACTGCTGGCTCAAATCTGGTGCACATCCCATCCATGAAGATGAGCCACAGGACCCCACCCTCGCTCCAGCATCTGGCCATGCAGAGCCTGCTGAGCAACCAGGCTCTGGCCATTGCTGCCCTGGAGGATCTACCGGTGTTGCTGTTCCCTTCGCTGTTCGTGGAGGTCTATGCCAGGGCCCACACAGAGGTGCTGAAGGCCCTGGTGCAGGCCTGGCCCTTCTCCTGCCTCCCCCTGGGGGACCTGGCAGAGTCTCCAGACCTGGAAACCTTCAACGCTGTCCTGGATGGGCTCGATCTGCTACTTGCCAAGAAGGAGCGCCCCAGTCGGTGGAAACTGCAAGTCATCAACCTGCGGAAGGAGCACCCCAACATCTGGATAAAGGGTTACCCTTCAATAGCCTGAATCTCTTATCCAGATGTCCTGACTGACAGGCCAACAGAGAGCTGTAGTTTGTTGATAACTGAAGAGCAGCCCTTGATTATACACAAGAACCTGACCATCAAAGATGGCTCCCAGAATGCTCTCCAAGCCTACCTGCTCCAGTGGGCCAGGGAGAAGCAAGAAAGAGTCCAACTCTGCTCAAGGAAGCTGCAGATTCATTCCAATTCCATCTACATAATCCAGAAGGCTCTCCTTACAGTGCAGCTGGACTCTATCCAGGAACTAAAGGTAAATAAATTCTGGCATCGAGAAACCATGAAAAAATTTGCTCCTTACCTGAGCCAGATGAAGAACCTTCGCATCCTCAAATTCTCCAGGATGAGTGCCAACTTCAACACTTCCAGACACAAGAATTTCTCATATTCCTGCAAATACGCTGTACATCTGGGACAGCTGCAGCATCTGCAGGAGCTGTATGTGCATGACGTCTTCTTCCTTTATGGACAGCTGCCCACCATCCTCAGGAACCTCACCCTTTTGAAGACCTTGTCTCTGAGTTCGTGTCCACTGAAGGAGGCTGACTTGTGGTTCCTGTCCCAGTGGCCCTGCTCCAGGCAGCTCAAGCACCTGCGTCTGAGGAGTTTGCCCCTGGACAACTTCAGTCCTGAGCCCCTGAGAGTCCTACTGGAGCACGCGGCCGGCACCCTGGAGACCCTGGCCCTGGAGGACTGTGCCATCACGGATCCCCAGCTCTTGTGCATCCTGCCCACCCTGAGCCTGTGCTCCCAGCTCTGCGTCTTCAGTTTCTATGGAAACCACATCTCCATGTCTGCCATGCAGAGCCTCCTGAGCCACATAGCCAGGCTGCCTCATTTGAGACGAGGGCTCTACCCTGCCCCTCTGGAGAGCTACCACCCTCAAGGCTGTAGGGTTGGGAACTTTGACTCTCAGAGATTTGCCCAGGTTCAGGCTAGGTTGGCACAGGCATTGAGAGACATGGGGACTACTCAGAAGGCCCAGATCTGTACCAATTTCTCTCATCGTCACAAAACATGCCAATTCTATACCCTGGGGCCCGAAGGCAACTGGGTGGTCACCATGGAGCGTCTTCCTGGCCTTTCTGCTCTGCCTCTGTAGTCAGGTGCATCTCTCCTGGGCTCTCTTCTGAGCACTCAGAAATGAAAGTTGGAGTCTGGAATTGTGTCTTAGTGGTATAGTGCTTGCCTAGCATGCATGAAGCGCTGAGTTCATTTCCTCAGTACCACTCAGAAAAAGCAAGAAGTGATGCTGTTTTTCAAGTTGCAGAATACTAGCCTGAGCAGAAGTAGCTCATGGATAGTGCCCTTGTCCTCAGACCAACTCCCAAGACTGGCAAAATAAAAATAAAAAAGAAATGAAGGCTTTGGTGTAAAAGCACTCTCCAGGGGGGCATAGACCCCAATAAGTCAGTGTGGGTGGAAGAGAGAGACCTCTGTTTCTGAGCTTTTCTTTTCAATCGTAGCTATGGTACTCCAGGAGATGCTGAGCACTTTTGTTCTACATGGGTACACATCCTCAGGAATCTGGAGTGAATTCAGCCTGGAAAGAACTTGACCATGCTCTTGTTTGGCTAAATGATTGTGAGGAAATCCCCCCAGGCCTGGGGCAGTCCCTGACTGTCCACAATTTACTGTATCAATGAATCAATAAAGTCATTTCCAAAAGAATAAAAAGAATAAGAAGGTTATCATTTCTCAGAACCAAAGTGTACAGGTTTCTGAGAGGAGACTGCCACGTGGTTCAGGTAGAAAGAGTTCATTTGGGAGAGCCCCTCTTGCAGCTTGCAAGATATGTTGTTGTGCAGGAAGCCAACTTAGGGAGGGGAGGAGGGGTTGCTTCAAGTGACCTGGTGACGTGGGGGCCTCCCTATGCTCCTATTTACATGGGTTTAAGGTGTTGGGCAGGGGCTTCTCGGCAGGTCCATGTGCTGTCCTTTGGGGAGAACAAACATTTGGGCATCTTCTTACGGTATCCCCTGGAGAAGAGAAAAGAGAAGGGTCCATTCTCCCTGAGCAGACTTAACATTCCAACATTTTGATAGTTACAAAGGGGCGCTGACTATCTATAGCTACTTCCTTTTGTCAAGCAGAGTGGACATTAGGGGTAGAAGGCGGGATTTCATCTGGTCCAGGAAAAGTAACAGTAACCGTTCCTGGGTGGTGAATGCATGTATATATCCTTGGCTGAAATCTGATAGACATCTTATAAGGTAGCAACTGAACAATAAGACAAAACATTATCAGAAGGCACACAAACACAGATGAAAGGGCAGCCATTAATTCACAGTGGAAAGGAAAGATGTTGGCTGGCATGGATACTTCCTCTCTCTTGTAAGCCAGATGATCCTGGAGCTGGTGGATCATGTCCCTGAGTACATCTGACTGATTAAGGTCTGGCAACCGCACAGGGACTAGTTAAGAATAAAAATTTAGAAGCTAGGGGGAATCGAGTGGTTAAGGGCCTAATGGGAGTCCTGCATCATTCCTGTAAATGGGCAAAAATGCCTGGATTACAGACATTTGAACTACAGAGTATGGATGGAAAAACACTATAAGTAGAAATAGCAGGTATCATGGTCAAGAATGTAAGTTCCTGTCGACTTACAAGACAGGGATGGGCATTAAATAGGCATACTTATGATCTATTTTCTTTTAATCTCCTGACTCTGGTAAATTTTGAAAGGGCAAGCACAGAGTGACTCCATTTAGGATGTTTTTGCCAAGTGCCTCTGGTAGACCCTTGTCACCAGGACTAGCTCTGTCTTGGTGGGTCTAGGAGGTCTCTTCTCCTCATTGCTAGGATGGCATATCTTCATTGACTGATGGCATGTCTCATGTTGGATGAGGGGTGATTGACAGATCAAATGAGAATCGATGCCAAGAGTCCAAGAGTAGTCATTGTCTAAAAAGAAATGTTCTCATGAACTGATTTATTTCACTGTCCATCAACTTTATAATAATGATTGCAAAAAAAATGATGACTCGGATTCTAGCTATTCTTGAGGCTGAGATCTGAGGATCAGAGGTAGAAGCCACCTCGGACTTTAAATCCTGTGAGACTTTTATCTCCAATTTACCAACATAATTCCAGAAGTGGAGCTGTGGCTAAGCTAGAAGAATTAAGCTTGAGCAACAAAGCTCAGGTCCAGTGACTAGGCCCTGAGTTCAGCCCCAATATGAGCACACCCAAACACCCAGCCAGACGGACAGCCAGCCAGCCAGACACACACAAACACACACACACACACACACACACACACACACACACACACACACCATACTACATACACAATCTGCCTAGGAAAACAGATGTTGTACAAGTGATTGCTGTGTGGGCAAATCATTTCTCCATAACAGCTGTTTCTGTGGGAAGCATAGAGAGCAAGCCAGGGCCGGTGCTCTTCCCTGAGTACAGCAGGAGGCTGAGAGCTGCCAGGAAACCTGGGGTGGACATTGGAGGAGAGCCTGTGGCAGCTCAAGTGGAAACATTTCCTTGACCATCCTCTTATTCTAGAAGCCTTTTCTCTCATACCAGGGGAAAGAGAAGCAGTGCATACCTCTGCTGTACCCCTACTTGGACCTCATTTCTGCAGCCCACCCCACTGATCCTACCTCATGCTTCAGCAACATTCTCTCTCCTAGATCTTTCGAGGACCTAACTGAAAGACCACATTTGTGTGAACATTTGAAATCTTTCCCCAACTCCTGGGGACCAGTGTCAAAACCCCATTTGATTCCCTTGGCCCTGCTCTGCCCCTCCTCTGGACAGAGGTTGCCTTAGTGTGTGGCTTAGATGTTGTAATATTAGCACACAAGGCTCATACCTATAGTCCTGGCTACTTGGGTGGCTGGGAGCCTAGGATCCCATACACTTTTAACTCCAGTGAACCAGCAAAATTTGGAAGCGAATGTGTAGATCAAGTGGTAGAGCACTTATGAGAGCAAAAAAATGAGCATGAGTGTGAGACTGAGTTCAAACTCCTCTACTGGCATGATCAATAGGTCTATAGATAGGTGATAGATAGATAGATAGATAGATAGATAGATAGATAGATAGATAGATAGATAGATAGATAGATAGATAGATAGATAGATGCAATAATGCAATTGTGTAATTTCAGGATTATTCATTGTATGTCTCCATTCTTATTCCTGAGTTTCTATAAGCAGGTTTCTAGACCCCAGGCCCAGTCCTGGAGAGTCTTACATTATTTCTGGCCATTCATCCCCATATGCCAAATAAAGAGAGCTGGTGAAGGGCAGAGAAAGGAGCTGGATTCCAGGGCAGCCAGGGACAGGCAGTGCCTGAAGACGTCTTCAGCATCCTCAGGGGTGCAGACATGGGCTTCGTGTTCAATAGGGAGACTTTGGGTTCAGAGGTGATAAAGGTCTGAAGAATGAATAGGAGCGAGGTGAGCTCCCGAGTTTGGGCTGTTTTGAGATGTGCAGAAGAAGGCATTGCACAAGTGAGGGGCTGTTTGTGTTCCATAAGATGCTTGTCTGAGAATCTTCTCGGGCCTTCTGGAAATATGTGATGGCAAAGTGGATGCACCAGAGAAAAATCTCAGATCGCAGAGCACAGACACAAAGTCAGGGGGCGTTGAGTTAATCCCTGGGCTCCAGCAGCAACATCTCTTCACTTTGCCTCTGACATTTCTGCACGTTTTTTGCTGTTAGGAAAGAAGTTTACACAGGTTTCCTTAGATATGAGGCATGATCCTTGTCAGCAATGAAGGTGACAGTGAGCAAAATGAGATTCAGAACCTTCAGGAGAAGCTGGAGGCCACCAGGAACCTGGTGATGCAGCTGTCAGGCCATTGGCCCAGCTTCAGGGATAGGTGAGGGTTGGGGCAGGGGCTTGAGCAGAGGGGGAGTTTCTTCAGGTGGAGAGTGCTGGGGAAGAGCCTGTGATTCAGGGACAGGGCCAAAGGTGAGGAGTGTGGGGGAGGAGGTGGGGTCGCCTCCACCTTGCCTTATGGTTTCTGGAGATTCAGGGGGTATTGATGGAGTCAATGATGTTTCTAAATTTCAGTAAAGAAACTACTGGATACCCATGCTCTGAAGAATCAGTGAACCTGAGGATCACAATTCAAAGCCAGCCTGGGAAGGAAAGTGTGTGAGACATTTATCTTCAATTAATCAAAAAAAGAAAACCCACAAGTGGAGCATTGGCTCAGGTGGTAGAGCACTAGTCCACAGCACAAAAGCTCAGTCACAGCACCCAGGCCCTGAGGCTCCTGTGGCTTTTCCTCCCCAGATGACAGAACAAAACAAGAACAGAGGCTGGACTTACTGGATTCCAAAAACCGGCCCCCACACGTGACTTGCCCCATGCTGAACGCAGGGGGGCATTAGGGCTGGCTTCTCTCATGGGGTCCTTCCTCCTCCCTGAAAAGAAGACTTGAGATGAGGAAATGATCGGTGCCTATTGTTTAAACAGTGGCTGAGCTTCAGGAACAATTGGTGGCTGGTTCTCAATGGTGGAGAAGCAGCAGCTAAAAAGACAAGCAATTTGAACACAGCTCCTGCACTCAGTGCAAGTGGGGGCAATCTGCTCACAGGGATGTGGAGGGTGGAGGAGCCAAACAGCCAGAGGCTCAGGGATGGCAGAAACACTGTCTGCTAATCCATGGGACTGTGACATCTTGTCTTACAGACAAATGGCACTATATGGCTGGAATTACCTTTTCATCAGAGTCGAGGGGAAGAAATTTGGTGGCCACGTTTTGCTAAGGCAAATCACTGGAGACTCGCAGAGAAAGGGTTCAGCTAGTCAGGTGCTGGTGGCTCACTCAGGTAAGCTCAGCTACTCAGGAGCTCGACATGTGAGGATGAGATTCAAAGCCAACTGGGGCACACAAATCCATTCTGCTATTAACTCCAACTAGCCAGCACACAGAGGGAAGCAGAGCTGTGGCTCAAGTGGTAGAGAACCAGCCTTAAGGAGAAATGTAAATAAGGGACAGCAATCAGACCTGGAGTTCAAGCCCCAGTACTGGCACACACACGCACACTCACACACACACACACACAGAGAGAAAGAGAGAGTGTGTGCAATTGTTTCCAATTTAGCATTTGGTGCGTAGCTCCTTAAGCCGA